AAGATACACAATACAATTTTATTTCCTTGTACAAAAAATGAAAACATCTGACATTTCAGGAATTGTTTGCTACAAAACCAATGGATGCATGATCATAGTTCGTATCGTTCCCATTTAAATGAGACAACATTGATATGGATATCCAGTGTAGAAGAATAAACTGCTGTTGTATTCACATTTCCACATCTTTAGGTGGTAGCCAACTGATCTAGAAGCTTTTGTGTAACTCAAACCTATGTAACTCAAACTATTTCTAAAAAATCTCAACATTTTTCGCTACTGAGAGCTCATTTTTAGCAATGTATTATGTTATGCACACATAACGGAAGATTGAACATTGGCTCCATTATAATACTTACTGCTGATGTAATCACACTGCAAAAATTGCCAGGTTTGAAAGGAACACCTACGCTTCACATGCTTTCCTACATAGATCTCGGTGGGTATAAAAAAGGGTTAGTATTTTAAAAAACAAAATAGTAATTCGGCCTCACTTTTTAGCGGTGGTGAAATGAAGTAAAATACAAAAGAAGTTTGGACCACAAACAAACACTTGTCTTGGGTTTAAAAACTCAATGAAAATGCTATGTAACACAGTGATAGATAGTGGAGAAACCCAGGGAGAATAGCTACACCCTTCCTCCCCCCAACACTGCAAGTGCCTACTGTTCTTAATTGCCTATTGATGTTTTGTTGTTCTTGTTTTCGCACCACCTCTGGTTTACGCCCCTGCTTAGCAGAGGCGCAAGTGAGTAATGCCCTGCCATCGTACTGCACCACAACCAACCAAAGTGAGTTCATTCTCTTTGCATGTCCCTTCTTTTTCCTTATTTAGCAGCTCATCTTTTCTGAATTATCCAGCTGGCATTTGGTTTCATCTGCCAAGTATTTAAAGCGGTGAAAAATGAATCCTTAATTCAGAACAGTCTAGAGCACTGGGATGGAGAGGGTGACTAAAATAACACACACACGGACTCATAAAAAAAAAAAAAAAGAAATGCTCGAGACCTGTGTTATTTAAAACCTAAGTGAAATGCAGTGCAACTATTTAATCCATGGGAAAGTAAAACTGTTTTGCAAAGCTATCTTTAGTTTAACAGTTTTGATCTATTGTGATGTTTACAAAAGTAAATAATCCAATTTATGAATTATGTTCACTTCAGTTGACAGGTTCCATCAATGCCTCTAAAAAGAGGAAAGATGGAAATGTGCATTGACTGACAATGCTGAGGGAGCTGAAGATGCTGTAGTAGTTAAGGGTAATGAGGAAACTTGGCATTATAAAAGAAAAGGGAAGTATCAAATATTCAGAAGCTCAACTAAACAGAGTTAATTCTCTGTCTGTTGTTTCCATGTTCCTTTAGTTGTACTGATAATTTCCGTACATCATTCAGTTTGTTGATTACTTTCCTTTTCATTAATATATATATATATTTTTTTTGTAGAAATGTTTGGTGGAGGAGTCGGAGATATTCACAACTAGAATTTTCAATTCTGTTCATGCAATATAGACATCTCACAGTTTAAATGTGATTTAACCTGATTGGACATTTTTTTGAAATATCCAAGCTTAAAGAAATGCCTAAAGAGATTTGAAAACTGAGTGAGAGGCAACCATATTTCATGCATAAAAGTATTCTCCCCACCCCTTTCCGTATCAACATCAGTGCTTTTGGCACTTTGACTCTATTGCATGACTTGGCCTTCTACTGGCTGCATCTAAACACCGACGTACCATACTTGTTATTAATCTCCCTTTCTGCCTCCTGCCTTTTCCACATGATGAATGGCCACGCGACACTGCCCAAAGTTAGAGCGCTGCTCCAGCATGATTACAGAGCCCGTTATTGGTCTGGCCCTGCACTTGATTAATGCTCTTATTCCCGCTCCCCACAAATATGCTGACTCTCATCAAGCAATTTTGTCACTGAATGGACCACCTATGCTTTAGAATTTCAACAATCATAGAGCAAAAGGGTGGTTCTTCGCAGAAAAAAAAAAAAAACTGGTAAAAGTAAATCATAAATTGAAGAGTGATGCCTCAGTTATTATGACCATGTAACTGTAAGACATAATATCGAATTGAGTGAGATTGGCTTTATATTTCATTTACTTATTTATTTTTTTGTTTGTTTCCAGAAACTCTAGAAGCGTTTCTTTGTTTGTAATGGGGCATTTGAGTTATGGTTCACTTGATCAGGGCTTGCAAACTCATTAATCACACCTGAAAGTGACAGTAATTGTTTAAAGGTTATGAATAGTTTCTCCCCAATTTTTTTTTTTTTTTTTTTGTATGCAGCTCAAAGAACCTTAATTGTGCATTGTGAGCTACATATTCAGTTTGTGAGCATGCAGTATTTTTTTTTTCTTCAAATCTTAGCACCAAAACAAAAGATATCTACTAAACTAAAAACAAAGACTTTAACCAAAAGAAATTAACTTGGCTTCTTAGACAATGACTATAAAGACAAAGAAGCAATTCTGCAAGTTAGAAAAGTGTGTGATAAGTTTTACTCTGCATTATAATAATTGCTTGAAAGGACAGAACCTCATTGTTTGGCAGAATGATTGAGAAAACAAAAGCTTGTTGTTTCCAAATAAAAACAAGGCCATTGGTCTTTGGATTGAAAAAGTGAAAAAAGATTAAAATAAATAAATAAATAAAAACATGAGGATTTTTTTTTCTAAGTCATCTTTTACTGTTTAATATCACATGCATTTACTGATAATATTAAATCATTTACTAGATAGGAATTTGATTAAGAGATTTAGTTTTCTTTCCGTATATATAAAAATAAACAATATAAACACAATTGGGTTTCAGTTTGTGGAAAGCATCAATGAAGACGTTCCATCCTCCAGGTCAATGCAGCAAATCTGACACTCAAGCAGCAGGGAGAGGCTGTAAATAAATAAATTAATTAATAATAATACTAATAAAACAGCCACATCCTTGTCAGCAAAGCCAGTTCACCGGCCTCCATCCAGTTTCCATGGTAACAAACCACTGTCATGTCTGGTGGGTGGTGCTAGTTTTTTTTTTTTTTTTTTTTTTTAATCTGCACCACATTTATAATTTTCAGAGCAGAAAATATCTAAATTTGTTGAGTAATTGTTGTCTAAATGAAATGATGCCAAAGCAGTTACGCTGACATCCAGCAAGATTTTGAGAGATTGTGGTACTATGTGCAAGTAGGCCATGTTCAGTGCATCCTTATTCTGTCAGTTCAGGTAGTTTGAAGCCTCCTTAGCAGTTACTTACACAATACTTCTTCCAAAATCAGCCATCTATCTTCCATACAACTTTAACGGTTATTCTTAGAAAGAATAACCTTGAAAACCATGAAAGAACCCTGCATTGTAGTGCCTGGTGCAAAACCCCCCAATAAGAATCATTACACATTTCCTGGAGCAAGAAAGACTTCTGCACACAGACATTTTCAAACTACCACAGGACTCCCTTGTATCTAGTTTGTGAAAATTTGAAAATCTTCTGAGTCTCAGATCAATGATTCATAAAATTTCGAAATGTCCAATATTGAGTGCCACATTTGTTTAAATTCTCAACTTTGTCGAAGCAGTTTTTCAGTTTTGTTATTTTAAACACAAATGCCATTTGCATAAAACCACAACCAAATGATTTTCTTCATCTTACTCTGCTTTATGTTTCCATTAATGTACATTCTAGGGACTTTTTGGAATGCATGTTCCTTTACCTTTGTCTGGCTTTAAATGTCACAGTCAACCCAAGTGAAAACAATCAGAGTATCTATAATGAGAATAAAAGGGGGGAAAAAAAGCATGACATATAGGATGATGGTCTTATAATTGACTGTGCTTTTGAAACATTGTTAGGCAACAGTTTTGTGAATGAATAACTTCAGGAAGCTGTTTTATCACCTTTTATATTCCATATCAAGATGACATTTAAGTGAATTTATGTAGTTTCCGTGAAACCTGAAAAGAACAGGATTCTATTTTAGCATGTATTATAAAGCACTAGCACCTCATGAATTAGCAGTGGTTAGACAAATTTGCTGTGTCATGGCCATCAGCATTAAGAACCACATTTAAGTTGGATTAATGCGAGTTGCGGACTTTAACACAAGAACGGTCAGGACTCCAGTACCGCTTTTAAATTTGTCAATGACAAACATGACATTTAAAAAGGCTACTTTGGCTAATTTTCATCAGCCTGGTAAATTCCAAATCAAATAAGAGTTGACAAAAAAATAAATTAAAAAATCCTTGAGCAAAATTTCATTAAAATGTGGTACTTAGGGGTTAGTGTTCTAAATTATATCTTAATGCAAAAATATTAATCAGCAATTTATAATAGGCAAAAAACATTACTAACAGGAGCAATTCAACACTTTTCTTTGTCCCTTGTTTGAAGTTGCATTAAAAGTCCACTAATAGTGCCAACTTCGCATTAGTTGGTAAGCTTAATGCAAAGTTGGCACTATTATTGGACTTTTAATGCAACTTTTAAAGCAACTTTGCATTATAAAACTATCATTATTTACAAAATGACACTTCATGACAACACTTCTAAGTATTCATAAAGACTCCTTCATATTCATGCAGGTGTTATGACATGTTTATGACAGTGTCAAGTCAGTCTTAAGCACATCCCTTCAAATAAAGTGTTACCATACTTTTTTTTTTTTTATTTATGCAGGGACACTTATTGGTATACTTCACAAGGTCAACACTGCTAGATATGCAAATGACACACATAAAGTATGCAGGTTTCCATACAGCATATGTGATGTGGTTTTATTATCCTTGCACTGGGCAGTATTTACCCTTTAATTGACTTACTATAAATACATTTTGTAACTATTTTATTTTAAGATTGAAGACTCAGTGTATAAGTATCTGAAGGATCATGAGACATGGCGTTGCAGCAGAAGACCCATGCATCTGCTGTTTTAATAGAATGCTGACGGATGCAAATATCCACCTTGGGGTTGCAGCCCTTTTGAAATATTTCTTCAGCATTTTTCAAGGTTATTTCGGTCTTATCTTTGTGTGATGCTGATCACTGGCCTCATTCTGCTTGGAGTCCTCAAGGAACAAAACAGCATCGGGATATACAGATAGAGTACAACGCTTACTTACTTCAATGTGTTTTATTAAGTTGTTGGCTGTTGCATGTCCCATGTGTGGATGGTAGTTTCTCCCTCTCCCAAAAACATAAGCGTACTTCCAGCTGCTTGGTTTTGGGAGTTCGAGCTGGACTTTCAACAAACATGAGTTCTGGCAGTAAAGTTTCTTTAGAAATGACAAAGTCTGCTTGTCCAAAACAGGTTATGTACACAGTTTTATCTTTTCTACATTTAAATTACGTGACACTGTCATAGTCCAGAAACACATTTTGGAACAAGTACTCTACTTTATTATTTGTGCTGTAAGAATAGTGCTAGTTACCGTGTGAAGAATCCAGACTGATAGCTGCTGTGTCTCTCAGAGCATTAACTGTAGTAATGCATTTGTCACTTTCTGAATGCGAATTCGCTGCCTATGCACCCAATGTTCCCATGTTTTATGGGGTTGTTTTGCATTGTAGTAATAGTCCCTATTTGGATCAAGATGTTTGGCTTCAGTCAAGGCTTAATTTGTTTCTTTGAGCCTAAATGTTGCTGAATTTTAATTTCCCCATGCTAACAGGGACACAGGACAGACCATCACATGATTTAGACTAACCCTACCCTAATAAAAGATCCGATTGGTCGGTAGTGTGTTTGTAGTTATTAATACAATCCATACGGCAAAAATAAATAAATGA